ATCTATGTGCGCATTATATGTATATGTTTATGTGTGTATATATGTAGGCTTGTGTGGGTATTTTTATGCAGGTAGCTATATATAAATATATATGTCCCTACGTATATAGGCTTGCATATATATATATATATATTATACCTATGTTTGAGCTCCATTTTTTTTAATTGAAAACGAGTTTTATAAGTATGAATTTTTGAAGAATATATTGTTAAAAAGTGAACTAAATATTTTGAATTTGTGTTCAAAATATTTTATTATAAATATGTGTGGTTGAAAATGAGTTTGTTAAAAGATGATTTTTTTTGATAATATAAATCAAACAGGGTCTATATGTATCTAAACATGAATCTGTGTTGTAGTTTGTGTATATATGTTCTTTTTATAATTTTCTTGAATGGCTTATTAGTTTGATAGTTATTAATTAGTTTGTATCTAATGAATTTATGATGTCCTTTTACAATGAATTCGAAATATATTTTTATGAATCTTAATAATTTTGTTTACATAAAGGGTTTTATAAAAATCAATATGTAAAATTAATTTAATAGAATAATGTTTGAGGTTTATATTTAAACAGTGCATTTTGAAGAAATTTCTAAATTAATGGTAATGCATTAGAATTTTGGGCACATTTATTTCGAAATAATGTTATTTGTAGTCCTTTACTACTCTAGTTCTTCTACATGGCTGTTAGTGAATTGATGCATATGGCAGTAAAAAACTAACACAATAATGCATCAAATTATTAACCGCCACATGTATGTCACATAGGGCGTGAGTGATAGCAAATAGTATTACTCTTTTATTTTATGGGTGGTTAAGAATATCTCCACCCATCATTTGAAAAATAAATTTACTCAGATCAATGTAAGTAAACCTTCTCGTATTTTCATGCGTAAGTCGTATGATTAAATGTATACACGTGTTTCCTAAGTTGTCATTATGTAAGCATGATACTTGATTATTAACTTTTATGTCATTAAAGCTTCTTATGAAATATTCATAAATGCCAATGCACCCATAAGCATATATGAAGTTTCAAAACATAAAAAGTTTTCAAATGTCAATGAATAAAAAAATATTTGAAAAAGATGTGTCTTGAATGTTTTTGTTAAGAGGTATATGCCTATGCTATGAAAGTTGTGATTGGAAAATTGGGGGTGGTGGACCGACACATTCGACCAATGTTTAATAATGAAGGTTTAATGTTTAATATTAACCACTTTGCAACTCTTAAGGTAGAATAAATTGGGCTCCAAATAACAATAGTCCACTATATTTTGATTGGCTAGACGATGCACCAAGTAAACCGACAATATCGAAGTTAAAGTTTTTAAAGAAATTGAAGAAAATGGGATACACATTGGAAAAATGTATTTATTTTAAAGTAATTCATATGCACATAACATATTTGAGGATTTATTTCATTTTGTAATAATGAAATCCTTTAATTTAATCATCTTATTTTTTTATTAAGTAAAATTGTTCTCTACTATTTATTTTGCACAAATAAAATCATTAATTTTTATTATATTAGAAAAATCTAATTGTTTTCCACATTTATGATTTTAAGCGAAAATTAAATGATAATAATTCCAAATCTAGTGTATCTAGATTTTGGGTGTTACATGTTTCATCTATAAACTTGTCGACTTCTCCAATGGAGAGGCTTGGAATTCTGACTGTATAGCTTGCAAATCAATGCCATCATCTATTAGACATTTTTCTTCTATACTTATCATCTCCGCGTCAACTATAGATGTTTTACCTAATACCTCATCATTTTAGCTTTATCTTCTGACGGGGGAGGTACTAACATTAGGATAGTAGCTTCAGAGATGGGGTTACTATAACCAACATTGTTGACCTTGTCCAAGTGACATGGTCATATTGGACTTTTCAATTTGTAAGAGTACTAGAAAAAATATACTTTAATGTCATTTCGAGATTGAAGGGCGAGTCTAGGACTTGGTTGATCTTTCGAATGATAGGACAGCTATTGGGAACAAATGGATTTCCAAGATAAAACAAAGAGCTGATGGGACTATAGAGAGGTACAAGGTTTTCTTGGTAGTGAAGAGTTACCCTCAATAAGACGGTATAGATAATGTGGAGGCCTTTCAACCAGTAGTGAGATTTACTTAATTTGCCTAATCTTAGCCATAGCGACATGTTTAGATTTAGAGTTACATCAACTTGACATGAAGATTGCTTTTCTCAATGGAGAATTATATGAAGAAATCTACACATAACAACCAGTAGATTTCATTAAAATACGTCAAGAGAATAAAGTTTGTAAATTGAAAAGATCAATCTATGGTAATTTTATTTGAAAAGATCACACAATTTTGTCACGATTAACGAATTTATTTGAAAAAGCCCAATATGTTCTTTTCAATTTACAAACTTTGTGAATATGTTCCATTCGCTTTGATGAGCTTTCAAGATGAGATTTCAAAAACTAATCAACATGTATTTTACTATTCATTAAATCTATTTAATAGCTAGATCAAGTTCCCGATTGAGATTGCCTAGATGAATAAATATATAGATAACTCCTATTTTATCTGACACCCCAGCTTGTATTCACCCACTGGACAAATGCATTTACTATTTCACTTTTGCAACACAATTGTGAATATAACATAAATGATAAAGTTGATTATTTTCATTGATTAATTGAGGGGGCTAGAAATACTCGAACTGGTGTTATGAGATACATTTGAGTTACAGCGAGAATTAATTTCCTCTTATAGAGCTACTATCTATCCCTAACATGCTATATATATCCCTAACGTGCGTATATTGTTGTGTACTCTTAAATTAAATTGTTGGAATAAACGGGTCCCCTATGTGGGTTGACTCGACTGGAATTGAACGTAAATGGGAGGGAGGAGTTTGAAATTCAGTTTGAAACTCAACCTCCCACAACCCACAACTTCCATAGACAACCTCCATTGTACCCATATCATATAAAAAATATATATATAATTCGTGTGTGAAGAAAAAGATGAGAAACACATATAGGCTATGACTTGATTTGGAAGTATAACATCTTAAATTTGGTCTTTGGATTGTGGCTATCAAACTCCTTCCCGTGTGATTGAATTTCTAACCAAAAAGTGAGTACAAAGTAGAATAGGAAGTAAGCAAAAGGAAGGTAAGTTATTTAACATCATTTTTGTGATTTCAAGTAAGTTTCACTCGTGGGAATTCGGTTATAAGCATGCAAGTACATTTTACAAACAAAAATAAGGGGTTTACTATCATGAATTTTCCTAGCAATAGTTAAATATACTAACATATAGAATAATGCTAGCATTTGTGGCTTAGGTTGATCAACAACTTGAGCAATTGGATGTAAAAACTGCCATTTTAGATTGTGAGCTTGAAGAAAATAACTTTTTTGTGTCAACTTGAAAGTTTTGTGAAGAAAAGTGAATTAGATTCCTATTCATCTTCTAAAGAAAACAATGTGGTTTAAAAAAATTATACTGAAAAATGGTATAAAAGGTTTATTAGCTCATTTGTTCAACTAATTGGCTTCAAAAGAAGTAATTATGGCATTGTTTATATTTTAAAACAAGTAGAAAGAACATGTTTTTTTTTTTTTTTAATACTTGTTACCATATGATGACAATACGTTATTTATAAGTCGTAATATGTATGAAATAAATGGAATTAAGAAAAATTCAAATAATGAAATTGAGAAAAGGACATAATTAATGCTAAAAATAAAAAAATAGTTGGTATTGATATACTAAGGAATAGAATACACCGTTCTTGTATTGAAACAATATTCTTATAACAAAAAAGTGTTAACTAACTATTAGATGACTGAAACTAATGTGACTTCAATACTTTTAGCAGGTCATTTTACCTTAGTAAAGATGTCCTTCAACTTGAGAAGAAATAGACCACATGAAAAAGGTCTCATACTCTAACGATATAGGTACAGTGATGTACACTATGATATGTACAAGGCCTACAAGGCAACCAATATACTTAGTATTTACTTGAATACCCCTTGAACTTTTAACATTCGGCAGCTATGTGGTTCCTAAGATATCGTAATGGAACTTCAACTTTAGGGCTAATCCTTAAAAAAGTAATGAGTGGATAAAGTTAAAAGGGTATGTAAATTGTAACAGTGCGGGTGATAGGATAAAATAAAATCTACTTTGTCCTATGTGTCTACGTCGTGTGGTGCTTGTATTTTTTATGGTTCAGTATGCTAAATGTCAGTAAACCAGAAGCTTTCTCAAGTGGTGTGATCAAGAGGGTGAAGAGGAACGACTATAGCATTGTGTGTTCGATATGGAAGAAACTCTATATGGAGACATCGAAAACTTCAAAGTTAAGAAGGGGATTGTTAAGATTTTGACTTGATATTGTTTAACAAGAATGTGATTGTATTTGTGTATCAAAATATGGGTTTTAATTTTTCAATCGTAAAGGGATTGTTCAGAATCCCAAATTGGCTAAGAAACTAACAGCCCCTCCATTTGCCGTCCTATATAAAGGATTCTCTTTTATGCTTCATTTATTACAATTTGGAGTTAGTCATGGGTTATAGTGCATCGGAGTCATGCACTCTGAGTAGACCTCCACCGGAAACGTAAGCATTAAGATATGAAGGCTTCTTATTCCACAATAGCAAATACACTTTTTCACTCTTTCATATACTAGGGGATTTCACTTGGAAAAGAAAGAAATTGTTGAACTTCAGGCACCAATTAATTGGGGTGAACATATCTTGTTCTTCTTCTCGATTTTCTATTGATTTTACATTTTGCAATTTACGTTTGTGCTACTCAACAAACCTAAGACTAGAGAATAATAAAAGATAGTGAAATTTAACTAATCCATATTACACTTCAACATTGACCACATAAAGTTCGATAGAGCAAAATGTGAAAACAGAAAACTGCAAACAGATTTCGAAGCAATCTCCAGATTTTGTATTCTGACTAGAAAATAATGAAAGGTAGAGCATTTGACTAATCAATTTTAGGCTTCAACATTGGCAGCTTAAAGTTTCCCAGAGGAGGCACGCACCTAACAAACCAATTGACCATAGAAGGTGTAGCAGAAAAGGCTATACTCAAGCACCACTGGCCAAATCCTAGCCTGGCTATCCCTGAAAACTCATTCAGAAGTTCCACCATTATAAATTGAATGGAAATAATTAGTCCGATCATGCTCAAGAGAAGTTTTTTTTTTTGCATCTCCTCAAAAATGTTCTTCTTCGAAAGCCTGGGAATGAATATGTTGAAGGCTTGAAAGAGAATTTATGTACTAAGGACCAAAGAATTCTTTTCCTTATCATTTACATCAAATAATGATTTGCCTTTGAAATGTATAACCAGAAAGATGGCTATCTGATATAAATCTTGAGCCCCAATTTTTTTTATCTATTTGGGCTGTGATTAGCGGCTCTTTCAAGTTTCTTGGTGGCCTCCGCATAAGATCTTGAGACGGCTTCTCTATATTGAGTGCAAGAATTGCTAAAGTACCTGCAATCAGTTTCATCCACAAAAGTTGAAACACCAGAAATGGAAATTTTCCTGTTGAAATAGCTACCACAGCATTCAAACCAAGGTGTTCGCTAGATGAAACAGCCATCACAAAGTCAATTACCAGAGCAGCAAAACTTGCAATGAGCAAAAACTGAGTATAAATATGGACACTGTCGTATATTCCCCTACCCCATGTCAAAATATCAATGATGAAAGGAAAAACTTTGCATGACATGACAATGGCTGAGCATGCTTTGATAATTTCTGCCTCTTGGGTTCCAAAACAAAGTCCTACATTTGCTTCTCTAAGGGTTTGTGTATCTCCAATGCCTCGTCCAATGAATGCAACCACATGGCCTTTCTACTTCAAAGATTGGACCATAAGTAACTTGTCATCAGGAGTGGCTCTTGCCAGCACGCAGATATTTTCAATTTTCGCCATTTGCTCTTCTAAGCTAAAATTCCGGAATTCCTCACCATCTATCACTTCACCAGGCTGGTAATCAGGCTCAATTATTCCGCACTTAGTGGCCATGATTGTGGCAGTTACTTTGTTGTCTCCGGTGATCAATTTGACGCTGATTCCAGCTCTACGACAATCTTCCATTGTTTCCCTTGCTCCACTTCGACATGAATTTGTCAATCCGACAAGGCTTAATAGAATCAGCTGCTGTTGAAAGATGATGAAATCTCTTATTAACGTTTTCCTGTGTGCGAAAGCTATACATCTGAGGCAACTTTCTGCCATGCCTGCAAGAATTTGCTCAAATAAAGCTTTGGAATCTTAGTTCATCACTTTTACATTTCCATTACTCTCATAATAATGAGAGCACATTGGAATTATCACATGTACTTGAATCGTATTGTCGCCATTTTTACTGATCAAAACCCTGCTTTGCCTATTCTTTGAATTGAATGGTTTGATTTCAAGAATAGTGCAGCTTTTCTTCAGACTTTCCACATCCATCCCTAACTGCTTAACAGCCCACTCAAAAATTATCTTCTCAGTTGAATTTATAGGAGATGATGATGAAGACCTTGAAGGGGGTTGAGTAGTGTTTAAACCAATTCCTTGGTGCAGTAATTCATGTACACTTGGAGCAATCAAATTATGCTAAACTTCAATGGAGTTTAGACCTTGCCAGAACTTGGTTACCTACAGACAAGATAAATGAATCTTGTATTGCCATTGACATCAATCACATAAGGAGCCTGTTGAACGCATGTACTATTGAAACATTGACTTTGAAATTTGTATGCTGAACCTTCCATTAACACTTTCCCTGTAGTTTTTACATATTACCTAATCTTCTTTAGCAATTTTCATTTCTAATATCCTGTTATGCCTATAGGACGGTATTATCTATTCACAAACAACTTTACAGAAGTTGTTAATTGACCATGAAGAACAGATAAGTGCACTGGGAGATGAAAAGTAGCACCTCCATGGAAGCCATAGTTAAGGTTCCAGTTTTATTCATGCAGACAGTGGTGACAGATGCAACTTTATGGCAGATTAAAGGTTCTCTCACAAGAATTTGAATCTTCATCAGCCTCTTCATTGAATAAGCAAGACACGTTCTAACAGCCGAAACCAAATCTTCTGGAATAGAAGTTAAAGCAGCCATTGTTGGAGTTGCCAGAATCCCAACAATGACAGCAAGAACATCACCAATTCTTGTTTCTCCACCGAAAGACACACTTTTCCCTTTATCATCATGTAGTTTGTGTTGCCGTGAGTTGTCCTTGAAGGGAGGATCACAGGCAAGAATCATGCAATGCAATCCCTCAATTATAGCTCAACGTCGGATCGACAATTGTAGCCTCAATATTTGCACTCCCTATATAGCCTAGTTTTATCTATATAAATACACCAATATTGTAATAATATAGATGAATATACATTCAAGTTTATTTTATTCTAACATGGTATCAGAGTAGGGATTTCTTCCTGCTGCTTTTTCGTTTCTGAGATTTAATTCATCCTCCTTTTTTGTGTTTTGCTCAAATGAAAGCAGATCTCTGATTTCTTCTATTTTAGCATAATTCTGGAAAGTGTTATTCTAGGCAAAGGTTGAGTTCCAGTCTTCAGAAAATGGCGGCAGCAACATCAAAATTCGTCCTTGATTCTTTGCAATAAAATTTCTCGTCTTTCATATTTTGGTTCTCTGAACTTTTAGAGATCTTTATGGATGGTGAGAGCCTCCACTATTTCTTGTTGCTCCAAATTTCTTGCCTTTTTTTGCTGAATAGACCGAACTGGAGAAGATAGTCGAGAGAGAAGGTTTACACCTTCAAGCCCACTTATTTGAGACTTTTCCCACATGTCTGTCAACAATCACTTTATTGTTAGGCTAGTTTTGGACCTGATTTATTGGGCTGGTTTTGGGTCATGAGAACTTGAGTCATTTTTTTAGCTTGAATTATTTCTGTGGTCTTTCTTCCTACTGCATTATTGCCTCTGCCTATTCTTTTGGGACATTTATTGGAAAATGACCACGAAATCTATGAATAAAATGGTTCCAGTAATATCCAAGCTCGATAGTATGGCTTTTCTTGGGACCAATTACACTGAATCTTATACCGGTTGGATTCTTGATTCAGGAGCAACAGACCACATGACATATGATGTCGGCAATTTTTTGGAATGATCCTCTCCTTGGCGTACTAGCATTGCTAATGCTAATGGAGACGTATCTCTGGTAAAAGGGGCTGGTACAATGAGAATGTCGCCATCCCTCTCCTTGATTAATACTCTTCTAGTGCCATCATTGTCACATATATTATTGTCAGTGAGCCAAATCATGATGGAGTTAAATTGTGTTGTTCTAATTTATCCTATATTTTGTCTTATTCAGGATATTCTCACCAAAGAGATAATTGGGCGTGGTACTGAGAAAAGGGGGCTATACTATATGGAAGATTTTGGCATCTGTCGAGCTAATCATGCAAGCACTACCACTGATCGGAACAAGGCGAACATTTGGCTGTGGCATCGTCGGTTAGGACATCCTTCATTTGATTATCTAAAACATGTTTTTCCTACTTTATTTTCGGGTTTGTCAGATTTGGATTTTAAATGCGAGACCTGCACCTTAGCCAAGAGTCATCGTGCTACTTATCCCTTGAGTTTGAATAAGAGTCGATACCTTTTGAGTTGATTCATTCTGATGTGTGGGGACCATCTCCCAAATCTACTATGTCCGGTGTTCGATAGCTTTTGATTTTTGTAGATGATTGCACTCGGATGACATGGCTATATCTAATGTAAAATAAAGATGAAGTTTTTTCTATTTTTTCTCATTTCATGAGATGGTTAAAACCCAGTTCTCTACTACTATTCGCATACTTCGTTTTGATAATGGCGGCGAGTATGTAGATCGAGAATTTCGCAATTATTTTACTCACCATTACTTGTTTCATGAAACCTCCTACCCCTCAAACACCACAGAGTAAAGGAAGTGTCTTTGTGATATATCTACTTCAATGATAGTATGTAATCATCATACTCTGAAGATGTATAGAGATATACTTGTTGATAATATCAAATATCTAGAATTGCGTAGAATATGATACTTAGTATATTAGAAAACTCTTGATTGAGTTTTGTATTCCTACAGATAAACAATTTTGAGTTCATGTATAATCTAATGTTAGGATTACGAGATATTGATTTGCATAAATGTACAAAGGAAGTCGAATAGGTTGAGATTATTTCACTCACATGAATAATTGCTTTAGATACTTTGATATGTGTTGAGATGAGACAAAGGGATCATGTTGTGTACATGATCCGATCTCCTTAATGAGATATCAAGATGAGATTGTAGTAAGTAATCGAAATAGATTTTGTTATCTATTAAGTCTGTTTATTATCGAGACTAAGTTTTCGATTTGAGATTGTCTGGATGAATAAACATGAATGAGAACTCAAGTTAGGTACCGAAAAATACCTGAACTAAAATCTATTACGCCCTAAGAAAGGGAGAAAATATCATGTGCGAGTGAGAGATGTTGAAAAATCACTAAAAGAAAATTGATACAACTAATGTTTCAAAAACCAAATCAATTTGGTTGTTAAAAACTCTTTTCAACAACTACATTATAAGTTTGGTCGTAGATATTGAATGATGAACAATAGAATTTTAAATTAGTTGAAAATAGATATAGCGACGAAAAAAAAAATAGTTGTTAATTCTATATTTTCAACAACCAAATAAAAATTGGTCGTTGTGAGTGGGAACCAAATAAAAAATTTGTGCTAAAATTCAGTGCATATTAAACGACAACAAAATTGGTTGTTAGAAACACATATAATATAGTAAATATTCAACGGCCATAATCTCGTTGTATTCAACGACTATTTATTTAGTGGCCATTACAAGTGACATGCAACGACCAATTATTTTTAGTCGTTAAAGGTTTATGACAACCTAGTTACCAAATCTAATTTGGCATCAAAATAGTTTTGGATATTCAACGACTAGTACTACATAGTCGTTAAAGGTAACATTCAACAACTGATTATGTTTAGTCATTGAAAGTTTATGACAATCTGGTTAACAACTCTAATTTGGCGCCAAAATAGTTTTCGACATTCAACAGCTATATTATTGGTCATTAAGAATGACTATGAAAGGAAAAAATAGTTTTAATTGTTTAAATTTTTTAACTAAGGTAATTAACCATAAGCATAATATTTATTGTCAAAAGTATTAAAATAATTTCAAGATGATTACGTCCTTCTATAACTGTATACTTCGGGTGTTCCATCCTATTTAAATAAAAAATAAAATAAACGAGGTGGGTACTCTGAACCCATCTTGTTCGGAACATAATTGGCCACATGTGAATAGGGAATAAAATTCTTGACAGTACAATACACAGAATGGTCGAGAGTGACACAGAAAATTATCCAAAATACTTCGAGTATTTCGTATATAGAACCATTTTATTACACGTAATTACTAGAACCATAGTTGAACTTGAATCGTTCGATTTCGATTCTAAGTAATATATATGATTCAACTATTTAAATGAACAAAAGTGACGTATTTCGAGAAAGTGAATTGTCCCTAAAAAATTCGATTATCGATATTAACATGATAAATAGATTAACTTAACGAATTTATTTGTGCTATAATAAGTAATCATTAATTTAAAATAATTTTTAGTGTATAAACAATAATTTAAAATATTTTTCCAATAATAATTATAAATTATCACATAATAAAGTATTATGCTACTTTAATCAAAATCAAATATGCATTTATTAATAATTTAATCAAATTAAATAATAAAAATAATTATATATTAATTTCAAACATTTCCCCCTCCAAAAAATTTCAATCCCGCTTAAAAATTTCGCAACATTCTAAATTCGTTTTTGATTTTTTGTTTTTTTTTTTTTGTTTTTTCCCCCATATTTTTAAAACTTTTTCCTCTTTTTTTGCTTTGCCTTCATCTTCTGCTTCTTTACATCAATTCCCCTTCTCTGGTACTACGAAATAAAATGAAGCCCTAGACCTTCCATTCTCCTCACCTCTGTTTCTCCTCTCTAACAGCGGCAATAAATCCTAAACCACTTTACCTCTTTGTTTTTTTCCTTTCTTTGGTATGTATCTCGGATGTCTTGTGAAATTGAAAAGAAGATGGGTGATGTTGAAGGTATTTTCTTTTTTCATTTTCAATTTATCGATTCTTTTTTAATTGAAAAACTTGCTCTGAGGTTCCCCGCTTTTTCATCTCCATTTAAATGGTGCCTTTAGTCTCGATGGTAGCTAGTAGTTGTCCTTGTAGACATATGCAGGTGATTGACCCCATTTCATTTAGACCGGGTCATTTAAGTTTAGATTTGATTGCAGGTAAGAAGGACTGAGGTATATTTTTCATTTTTAGAAAGGGCTTTTTTGTATTTGTAACATTTAGGTTCTTTCATTATGGTTTGATATCAATTTTTGGTGCCATGGTGATTTTTAGGATGTTGAAGGCTACTAAAGGTATGCATGAGGATACAATTCCTGTTGATTTTGGCCTGTGCAAGGTTAATTGATTTCTGATTTTCGTTATCAGTATACATTTGTGTAATTTACTAATCGATTTCTTTTTTAATTGAAAATCTTGCTCTTGAGTTCCCTACTTTTTCATATCCATTTAAATTGTATCTTTAGTTTCAATGGGAGGAGGTTGTTGCCTCTGCAGACGGATGCAGATGATTGTCTCCATTTCATTCAAATGGACTGAGGTATTATTGTATATTTAGCATGGCCTTGTTAGTTTTTTATTCTAATTTTTGTTGGGAATTTATTTAATCATGCACGGCGGAAAATAAAACAAATTTTAATTTCCACCAAGGATTCTTTTTGTTTAGATAGAAATTGTACCTTTCTTTAATTTTGCAAACTCCTTTGCTATTCTTTTGTTCCAACAATTTTGATCTACCACTCACAACTGTTTAATTGTCTAGCTTCCAATGGAATTTCACACAGGAAACAAGATTGAGAGAGAAGGTTTACTTTTCCAGTGCTAGCAAGAAGAATGAAAATCTCTACAGTTTTTTAACCCTAACTGCTTATTTATATAAGCCCAAACGGGCTTGACCCATCTACTGACCTGGTCCAATATTTAATTAACCTGTTTAATTAAATACGATCCATAAATTAATTAATCCAATTACTTATTTCGAACCAATTAATAAGCAACACTATTAATTAATTTATCCAACACTTGTTAAATTAATTAATTGGTAAATCTCAATCTTCTCGTTCTCCTTTTGTATGTGACCCATTAGTTTCCAAATCACGATGTCTAAAGACGTGAATTATTATTTTGATCTAATCAAAATTAATAAATTAAAACACCCTTTTAATTTATCATTAATTCACATTTGTCGTCCCAAATTGACATCTAGCAAAGTTTCGGGGCAACACGTGATGGAAAATGTTACGTGGTATGACAAAATCAAACTTGTTCGTTTACTATGAAACTATATAATCCCTTCGTCAATATGATCTAATTAATTACGAGATACGGATAAGTGTCAATCTCAATTATCGATCATATCTTTCATTTCTTTATTAAGTCAATACAAGTCGAAAACTCATTTTCGACTCATGAGTATACCTTGACCAAGGATTTCGTTATCAACTTAATTGAATAAATGTAGATCATAATCTTTTACTATCTAAGAGTGACAAATCCTCTATTGGTCATTCACAATATTTATATGATTTTTACCCGAATTATGCTGTATTAGGAACCCTTAGTAGATCAACATCCAACATTACCAAAGTATGACTGCCATCATCTAAGGCTCTATGATAACTTTAAGTCAAAGGACCAATTTCACTATCGAACATTCAAGATTAATAATTGACATTCAGATAGTTATCCATGTGGAATCTCCCAACAGGTCTCCAATAATTTGTTCTATAACAAAACATCCACATATTCATTTAAGTGTCACCAACTTTAGCCTGTGAGATCAGTTATTTCATAAGAAATACTACACGTGGTGGTTTATCCATAATAATGATATATGTATCTCATTATTACTTTGACCATGGATTACTTAAGATTCAATCATATGCAATTTTTATATCACAATCACCACTCCTTGTGATTAACAAATTACTGAAACTTGAATCTATGGACTCCATTATTTACTATAATTCATTAGAATATTGATTTAAATAAATAATAGATCTTGCCAAAAAAATGAATGTATCAAATATATTAAAAGTGTTTTACAACCTAAATCGATTGGACTTAGGGCATAACACATACTATTTTCATCTAAACTGATAATTTGTTTCTAACTTTTTGTCTTGTCCATTGTGTAGGTTCCATCATTTCTAGTTGATGTGGCTATGGCTCTTATTGAAGAGGAGCTTGGACAACAATGGTGTAACATCTACTCTGAACTTTCTTCCTCCCTCATAGCCATTGGTAATCTCAATGACCATTGACTTCTGGCTACCATTTATATAGCGTCATTTGCTGCAAGTGTGCATTATTATTATTATTTTTTTCACTTTCACAAATTCTCAATATTGTGTCCCTAATTTATCTTGTATATAAAGCTCATATACTATCTCCATGTTTTGAAAGCTAACTACAGCATCCCTCGACCAAGTCTACAAGGGCCAGCTAAACGAGAATTGGGATTTGGTAGCTGTCAAAGTACAGAGGCCTTTGTCCTTGAGACTAGCAGTAGATTTATTCATTAAAAGCCACTTGGGACTTTCTCTTTGCAAATTTCTATAGGTACTGATTGTTCATTTTCTTGTTGTGTATTATTTGTGGAAGAGGTGATTAACAAGTAGTGAATCCACCTCAAATCTAATTTTTAAGATATCCGTTAACCTTGTTGTATTGGTTGATGAATGAGCTTTTCACTTCTTTGAGGAGCTTGATTATGTTAAAAGAGAGAAAATGGACAGTTTTTGCATTTTGCTTATTTGCTCTTTATTTTTTTCTGCCATTTTAATGTATGGATGATTGCAATATTTGGGGGGTTGGATGGAGAGAAAAGCTGAGTTGAATTTGATGTAAGGAAAAACTAGATTTTCTGCCTTGGTTTCAATCTTTTAGGAAAGGACTCTTCGAATCAAATGTGTAAGTTCAATTACTGAAACCCGTGCATCTTAAACATAGTTTTCCTTTCAACTCTCGACTTAGCTTTAGGTAAATTCCGGTACTACTTAAATGAGGATTTATGTTTTCATGTATTCTTAGTTAAAAAGGAGAAACTTTCTTATTATGACATTTATGAATTTATTTTAGTTTCACTTGCTTGATTTTAAAAAAATTATGTAAACCTGTCCATAAAAGTAGAATTTAGATTTTAAGAAATTTATGATGAGTTTTTTCTTATTTATATGTAGGTCATACCCTTCGCAAGAAGTATACTCGTTTGCATAAAGACAAAGTTTCTTCAATAGTTGGACTTTAACTAATCTTGTAAATTATATCTATTTTATGTTGTTTTGAACTCAAAATTTAAGGGATTGAATGAATATGTTTGCAATTTCATGTTCAATGTTAGTTAGTTTGAACTTCAGCCTTTTTCCTTTTTTTTTTTTAAATTAATTTTTTACTTTAAACCTTAATATAATAAGTGTTTAAAATAATAATCATAATTTTTTTTAAAATTTTAATTCAAATTAGCAACGGAAATAATAATGGAAATTCAATGTTAATCATCGACAAACTTAATCGATTGTTAATGTTAATTTTTAACGACCATTTCTATAGCTATTGAAATGAAAAGTAATTAAAAATTGGTTTCTTTCATTGTATTTTAACGATGAAAATAGTGGATAGAACAACCAAATAAGTGGTCATTGAAAAAAGAATCGGTTGTTATTCAAACCTTTCACGATCAGTTATTTAGTTGTTGAAATAATACATTTAACGACCAAATGTATTCTTAGTTATTGAATACATTCGCGAACGCATCTTTTTCGATCAACAAACAACCAAGTAATTTTGGTCGTTGAATGTGATCAATAACCAAAAATGTATATTTTATGACCATTATTATGGTTGTTGAGTGTGATATTTCCTATAGTGAATACAGGTCGCAGATCTCTCATGTGGGGTTACTTAACCCATAAGATATCAAAGGGTTGGAGGGAGTGGTTCGAATATAGAATTCAAACTTAAAGCCCCCCATAACTCCCATTTTTAACCTCCAATTATTTGTCTAGCATTTGTGAGAAATAAGGATGGCAAGAAAATTATGAAATTCATATGAAAAATATCATCAAAATTGAAAGGCACCTTGAACCATTATTTTGTCATGAAAACTTCCAAAAATTAGCACTTATGTTGTGGCTAATAATCCCTTTCCATTGTGATCGGGATTGAAATCATTGGAGTACAAAAAAATTGCAGATTTAGAGTTTTGGAAAACAAAGCGATTCAACAATTCAAAAGATCTTGGTATGATTATGCATGCTGTGAATTATTACAGAGTAGAACGTGTCGATTTTTCTCTTGAATGAAATATAAATTACTCGATATGCTTGATACATATATGACAAACAAGATTTCTTTATGAGGAGTGAATTGATTGTCTCAAAATAATGTGTATCATTGACCAGGGCTTTATATTTTGCTTTTGCAAAATATCTAGAAAAGACATTTTGCTTCTACTTTTTTTCTTTCTTTTTTATTTTATGTTTCTATTATTATTATTATTATTATTATTATTATTAACATTTTATGAGATGAGATTGTGTTGAAGAATAAACAATACCCACTTGTAGACTGTGGAGTTGTTGATCAACTTATCCAATCCGAATCTAGGGCCATCTCTAATGCATGTCCCAAAATACCACAATGCACCATTTTTTGGTGCAAAACAACTCCAATGCAACATTATTCACTTTGCACCAAATTGGTGCAAAGTGTCCAAAGTCATTTTTACCCTTTCTTTTCATTTTCCAAATAAATTGATTAAGGGTATTTGTGTTATTTGTGCTATACATTTTTAATACAATAAATTATTATTGTTATTATTAGCCTGCGTGCCAACTAGTATAGGATATATGTTGTAATTTGACTAATTGAAGATGCAAGAAAAGGAGGAAACCATGGAGATGGTGCATTAATACCGATTCAATGCAATACTCCCTAGGAATTAACCAACTAGTCTTCTTTTTGGCTCGAGAAGTCTAGAGGAAGATTAAATAGAATAAGCCCATAATCATTCATACTATTATATGTATGTTTATTTGCATGTTTGATGTGCGTGTGTAGTGAGATATTAAGTCAGTGTTATTATTTGTCTTCCATCATAATAGTGAGAAACGAGGGTCCTAAATTGATCTCAACTTGTTGAATACACTCAAGGCTGGTCTATTAAGGATATGTTTGACGCTATGAAATATTTGATATTTATGAATGGTGGGTTCGACTTAATTAAAATTTATCTTTTGTTGAGTACACTCAAGAAGATTTTTAGATGCATGTAAGCTAACACATAAGATGTGTGAAGACAAAGAGTTGTCAACTTAATGGTCCAAGAGTTGTATGGAGATACAATTGATAATAGTATCTACCCAAATGTTTTATAAAGATTTGTTGAGTATACTCTAGATATTGATATAACAGATGTGATCCCAGCCCACTAGGAATCAAATGTGAATTTTATAATTTATGTATGAGGGTCATAAATTTATTTTAAAGAGTGGGAGCACATTTAATTAAAGTCCATATTAAATTTATGCAATGCATCATAATACATATTAATTCTTTATTTTTCATAATTTACAGTTTTTGAATCATGGGTAATCATATGAATTTGAGAGGCATACTGGATGTTAACAAACTTACTAGACCAAATTTTTTTGATTGGCACCGCAATTTGAGAATTGTTCTCAGGCATGAGAAAATTGGGTAAGTCCTTGAGCAACCCTTTTGCAGGGGTACCTACTAAAAACACTACTAAGGAAAAGGTGGTTGCTTATATCAAACACAGTGATGACGATAGTACTACAACATGTGTGATGCTTGTAGCTATGTCACCTAAGTTGTAGAAATAATATGAGGGTATGAATGCTTACACTATGATTCTTCATCTCAAAGAGTTGTATGATGAGCAATCACGTGCCAGTGCAGAAGGATCTTCAATCAGTGCTCATGTGCTGAAGATAATTGGCTTTATTGAGAAATTGGGTCAATTGGGATTCATAATGGACCACGAACTAAGTATTAACTTTGTTCTACAATCTCTGCTTGAAAGTTATTCACAATTCATCATGAACATTAAAATGCACACTCCCTGAGGTGCTGAATATGCTTTAGACTGTTGAGCCCAATGTTAAAGCTAGTATTGGGCATGTTTTAGCTATTCAATCCTCTAAGGACACTAAGAGGAAGACTAAAGGAAGTTTTAAGAGAACATCCAACAAGGCTAAGAGTAATAACAAAACAGTTGAAGGGAACAAGGAAAATAGTAAGTCTGATGATCCGTGCTATCACTATGGAGTGAAAGGTCATTGGAAGAAAAATTACAAGGCTTAATATGTCTATTTCATTGTCTTCTGTTTCAGGTATTCTTGTTATTGAGGTTAATATGTCTATTTCATTGGCTTTTTGGTTATTAGATACTGAATGTGAATTTGATATTTGTATAAATATGCAGAGACTAAAGAGAAGTAGACCACTGTAGAAAAGATTGGTTGACCTGCGTGTAAGGAATGGAGCAAGAGTTGCTTCATTAGTTGTAGGAACATACTTCTTGACATTGCCTTTGGGCTTAGTATTAGAATTAAAAAATTACTATTTTGTTCTCGCCATTACTAAAAACATTATTTCTATTTCATGTTTGGATATGACTGGTTTTTCAATTAATATTAAGAACAATTGTTGTTCGTTTTATAAAGATGAGATCTTTTATGGTTGTGGTGTATTGCAAAATGGCATTTATACTCTTGATACTTAGTCGTCTATTATGAGTATAGAAAATAAAAAGCATAAAAGTGATAATCTGAATAATACCATCTTTGGTATTGCAGACTGGGTCATATCAATAAGAAACACATTTTCAAGTTATATAAAGATAGATACTTGGGGTCAACTGATTTTGAATCATTTGACAAATGCGAGTCATGCCTATTAGGCAAGATGCCCAAATTTTCTTTTATTGGGAAAGGAGAAAGAGCTGTGAAACTACTGCCCCTAATACATACTAATTTATGTGGACCCATGTCAATCACATCTAGAGGTGATTTCTCTTACTTTATCACATTTACTGATGATCATTCTAGATATAATTATGTATATCTGATGAAGTTCAAGTATGAAGCACTTGAAAAGTTCAAGGAATTTAAACTTGAAGTAGAGAAATAGATAGGTAACAATATTCTCACGCTAAGATTAGATCGAGGTGGAGAATATTTCAAAGGAGGTTTTTTTATATTATCTAAAAGAGAATGGATTCTTTCACAATGGACTTCACCATATACATCGCAACATAATGATATATCTGAACAGAGGAACCGCACAATATTCGATATGGTGCAATCAATGATGAGCCATGCAAACATCCTAAGATCATTTTGGGGTCATATACTAATTGTTGAGTGCTATACACTAAATTATGTCCTATCTAAATCGGTCGACAAAACTCCATACGAGTTATGGAAAAGAAAAAAGTCCCAACTTATCTCATATAAAAAGTTTGAAACTGTGACGCTTATGTGAAGGGCAATGAATCAGATAAGCTTGAGGCTAAATTCGATAAACGAGAATATCCAAAAGAGACAATTGGATATCAATTCTATAATCCCATTGAAAAGAATGTGTTCATCTCAAGACATGTCATATTTCTAGAGAAAGAGTTTATTCTAGGAGAGGGTAGTGGGACCAAGATAGAACTTGAAGAAGTTCATGAATCCACAAATATTGTTGATAGATTAGATGAACCTAAATTTGATCC